GGAAGAGCCAGCGGGGGTGGGGGGCAAGGAAGGGAGAGTCGGACTGGGGGAGACAGGAGTGGGCCGGGAGTTTCCATCAAAGAAAGGAGTCCTCCCCACCGCCCACCGAGCGGGAAGGAGCGGAAGAGCCCTGGGGGAGGAACACTGTGGGGAAAGGGTAGGTGAAAGAAAGAAGATGCCAAGGTTGGACAAAGGGAAGCTTAGATTTATTGAGCGCCTACTATGTGCCAGGCACTGTGCGAGGCGCTTTACAATACATTATCGCATTAAATCCTCACAACAACCCTGCGAGGTAGGTGTTTATATACCCCCATTTGACAGATGAGGAAACTGAGGCTCAGGGAGGTGAAGTGATTTGACCAAGTTCACATGGCTAGTAAAGAGAGAGAGAGGAGGTGTCTGAGATCAGAGAGAGAAAAAGACATCAGCGTGTGGGTCCCCAGCCGTTTGGCGTGGATACGTACAAAGAGGGGCTCGGCGCGCTGCGGAGGTCTGGGTGGCCAGAGGCTGCGCCCGACCTCGCATGCCTGGAGGCGCAAGGCTGCTGACCCCCACGCGGTGACTGGGGATCAACTGATTAACTGCAGTACTCGGGCGGGGGGACTCGCGGACTAGCTACAGGGGTAATCCGCGACCTGCGCGCGCTCCATAGTGGCTACAGCGAGTATCACACCCTACACCTACAGGCTTTCTGGGACCAGCCTCCCTCTTCCGTCCGTAGCCGGTTTCTGGAAGAGGCAGAGATGTAAGGAGTTCTCAGGATTCTTTCAGATAGGTGATACCACCTGGGTGGGAAATCGTGGCAATGATTCAGAGCATCACTAAAAAACATTGGGGAAGAGGAAAGGGGAAGGTCTGAAGAGGTCCCAAGCTGACTCATTGTCTGCCTTCCCTCTCCTTCTTGGCCACCATTCCGCCCTGCCTTGGGCAGCCCTCACCTACATCTGAAACACTGGGACAGGAGCCCTCGCCTATTTACTCAGCTCTTCTGTAAATCCTGGGCAGTCTCTTGAATTGAGAATGAGTGTAGGTGAGAATGAAGCCACCCATAGACCCTCAGACTCTGTTCATCTATTCATAATTCTTTCTTGGCTTGTGAAGGGAAGGATGAGATAAAAGTGTCCCCAAAGGCTCCAAAATGGTAGGGGTGGGCCTTAGAACTCCCTCACTTTACATATTAGGAGAATAGAAGAGGGGAAGTGACTTGCCTAAGGTGCCCCAGTAAGTGAGTGTCAGAGTTGGGACTGGAACCCAAGACTTTGTAACATCAAAGTGAGCCCTCTTCCTGCTTTGCTGGTTGCTCCTGGGCCCCTTCCTCTTCTGCCAAGGGCTTCTCGGTCACCTGTTCACCTCAGTCCAAAGCCTCTCCATCACTTTCAACCCCCTGCCCAGAAGCCTTAACCTGCAATTGCCCTCCCATGACTGTACCACCCTGCCCTCCTGCCTGCTCTTGGCCAGGCTCCTCTGCTCAACCCTACACCCCTGCTGACCTTACTCGAGTGACCTGAAAGGAGCAGGCATTAAAGTATACTGCTCACCCTCACCTCTCCTGATTTAAAAAAAATTACGAATGGACATATGCTCCCTTTTCTTTCATTTGGGTGGCTTCTATTTAGGATATGGGAACCGGTATAGGTAAAGGGTACAAGGAAGTCTGTGAGGAAGAAAGGGGACCAGTGGGCCCAAGGATGGATGGGTTGGGGAACACGAATACAGCAAAGGGCCTCTTACTGCCGCTCCCTATTTCTCTGTGGGGCCCCTTTAGTGTCCCTCTCCCCAAAAAGGACCTCCTCTGTTCGGCTGATGACATCTAGAATCTCTCGGATACTGTCGCTCGGCTGTGCTGTCTTCCCGCCTTCCCCGGACCCGGTCCGCTCATTCCGCCAGGAGGCGCCCGAGGCTTCTGTGTCGCTTCCATCAGAAGAGCTATGAGCGCTGAGCTCCGCAGCCTCGTCAGAGTCCGAGTCTGGGGCGGTGTGGCGGCGGATGCGGGACACTGCTTCCCTCAGGGCCCCGGCGTAGGGCCCCGGGGTCCGCGCCCAGCCTCGGCCCGCGTGCCGGGGGACCCGCGCCACTTCCCCCGAGCCTTCGGCACTATTCTCACCTCCCGAAGTCGCTGGGCCTAAGACTGAGTGCTCTGGGCTACCTGGCTGGGTGGGGGTGCCCTGCAGTTTTACTTCGCCCACTGGGAGTCCCAAGATGCGGGAGGCGCGCTCTTCTAATGAGGAATCCGCGGGCTTCCCGCCCTCAGCTTCGAACCCGCGCCCTCCATATGGCTGGTGTGAAAGGCGACTGCTCAACAGCAGCTTTTGGCAAGGAGAAGAAAAGACCGCGGCCCCCTCGGCCTCCTCCTTGTGGGGCTTGGGTTGGCTGGGGGCATCTCCTGCAGTGCGTGGCACCCCAGTGGGCAAAAGCTGCACGTGCTGGGTTCGAGGGGTCGGAACATACTGGGACCTTATCACCACGCACGTGGCGTCAATGACAAAGACACCTTCACCACGAGCAGGGCCGCGGGAACTGCGGGGCAGGGTGTGGGCGCAGCGGGTCGCCTTCCAGCTCTCCGAGGTTTCGGGTCTGGCCCCCTCTCTGTGACCCAGGGACTCTCTCCATCCCGTGCCTCCAGGAGCCCAGGGTCTGGGGAGGGTCTGGCTTTGTCGGGGAGGCTGCTTTTTAAGGGAGGGAATCCAGGATTTGGGAAGCCAACTCTGTTCTCTACCTTCTTTCCCTTCCCCGGAGCCCTTGAAATGGGGCCTGGACCTGGGAGCGGGACGCGGGGGGCTGGGAGTCGCAGTAGCAGACCCCGCAGGAGCTGTCGCCTTGCCTGGGCTCCCAGCAGCTTTGGCTTGGGGGTGGCCGTCGCTACCACTGTTCAGGCCAGCAGCAGCCAGCCCCAGGCTTTTCTCCGCGGCCCCTTTTCGGGGCTCCAGCCTTGGCCTGGCTGTTCCGCAGCCTGGGGATCCCCCCAAGAGACCCCGCTCCTGTCGTAGACCCCAAGCCCCTAGGACGTCCCGGTAGATCCGAGGATCCAGCCTTTTCTTTGTGCGCCCTCCCTCTGTCCTGGCCGGCGTCTGAGCAGGGGCTGCTGAGAACGGCGCCGGGGAGGGCTCGGGGCCTCTTTTAGTCCCCAAAGTCCTGTGGGGACCTTCATAAGAAGGTGGAGCCACATAGGGTGGCGGCCGGTCCCAGCGACGTCGTGGGGCCGTCCCGGCAGCGGCTCTCAGCAGTAGGTGAGCCTCGTAGCTGGGGGGCCCCGGCCTGCGACCTCCCCAGGGCCCCGCCCACGCCGCCCTTGGGTCGCTCTGCGGCTGCGCGGATGGACGGGGCGGTCGCCCCG